GTGGTAACAGCCGTGCGAGATGGACGATAAGCGCGCGCCAAGCTCGAGCTAGTCCGCTAGTCGCAAACTAGTCACTGACTATCCGCGGCTGAATGACCGAGCCGGTCGCGCCAAGGAGGTGGTAGGGCTAGTATCGTTCCGCTTCGACAAAGGCGGGGGAGGTCGATCTGACCGATAGCACATGAAACTGGGTTATCAGAACGCAGCTCTCCTTGGACCGGTTACGCTCGATCTTCCTCCTCCTCCTTTTCCTCCTCGTCCTCCTCTTCCACCTTCTCTACCTCGATCACGTCGATCGCCCACTCGTCTCTTAGGAAACAAACATTTCGCATTTTCGCCCGATTAGAAGCGTTTGGTGTGTGGCTTCTGACTCTGCTGTCAATTAAATTGAAAGAGCCTTGGCTTTACAATGGCATAATCATAGCGTGTACGTCGATTGGCTTGATCACTTGACCTTAGAAAGAATCGTCAGTTATCATTTGATAATATTATTGATACTATCGTTGGCTAATGTTAATTTTCTCATCAGTGAAAATAATTATTATTTGTGCTGCCCACACATATTCGCAGATTAGATTATTTTATCTTAAGCTATATCAGGTGATGATGTTCTTCATGTTCTTCAATCGATGATTTTTCGGTTTATCCAAGTATTTATTATCCTCCAAGATAATGTAATGTGATTGGACGTTTCGCGTTGTAGCTTTAATAGATAATTCAGTTACCTCGATCGCGAAATCCGCCGACAGACATCGCAATCGTATGGCTATTTAATCGCCTCGTGGTTAACAGTCGGCTTCCAAGTACATTGAGCTAACTGCATTCGTTGCCCTCTGGCTGCACCACCTCCTCCACCTTGCAAGGACACGAGAACCCCGTTCCAAAGAGACATCAAGGAGAGTTTTGGCGGGAGAAAGAACAGGTCCTTGAACTCGACCAATGTCGACGTTCTTCCTCTACGACCGGAACGAATAGAGCATGCACGGAGGTATCGCCGCTTCGGATATATTTGGCAAGAAGCGCCACTTTTATGCCTCCGGAATGATGGCCCTCCACGTTTCCAAGAAGAACCATAATGCAGTCTCGAACTTATACGATCCTTGAGCTGTGGGGCACTCGGCCATTCGACTACGTGCCGAGGAATGCATTTTCGAAGGACACCGGACTTACAGTCACGCGCGCGCGCGTGAATTTTGGGCTACAGAATCGGTGAAAAGGAACAACTCATCTGGTACAATATACAACAATGAGGTTAAAAACCTCATTTTCAGTGCGAATGAACTTATACCAGCACACGATATATGTGAGGTATTTTCTGTTTAACCGCTTGAATTGGTGCAGGCGATAATTTAAGGTGGAACAAAATATATTTGCCTCCAACTTATTGTACCAGTTGCATCAGTTGAGACAGTTCAGCTGAAAAGAACAGAGCTGTGACAATAATGTTTCGAGAAGCGAACTTGACGTCAGATATTACGAGGGAAATTTTGGAGCAGCGTGTTCAGAGATTAGACATATAAATTGACGCACGTCTGTCTCACGAAAGCGTACGCGCATAGGGAAAGTCGATAAAACGATTCGCGGCGGCCGGCCGGCCGAACCGGAATCTTCAGTATGAAGTTCTCGCTGTCACGTAGCGAGCGATTCGCGATCTTTTCGCGGCACGCAGCCGGCCCGATCAACGTGTTACTATGCGACCCAACGTTTCCTCATAATCCTGAAGGACTAACCGGCCGCGGGGGACCGACAGATTTCGAAGGGGTTTGTGTTAGTATAGGTGTGGCGCGGGGTGGTGCGCACAGGTGAGCTTGGAAAGTTCGTCGATCCGTGTCGAGGAGAAACGGCGATCTCTCGCTACCGAAGGAAAAGGACCCCAACCTTGATAACTGGATCCAGCCAATGACCCCGGTCGTTCATTGCCCCGTAGGTCGATACCTGGTGCAGGGTTTAGAGGGAACAGGTAGGTAGGTTGGTAGATATGTACGATCCTTGTACCCGCTGCCGGGATCCTTAGGAGCCTCGGGCACCTATCTCGGTGCCTCGTAAAAAAGACGCAGGATCTCCCCGAGATATAAATAGGTATCCTCGTCCCGCCGCGCACCGGAGGAACAATGGCGAGGTAATTGAATCTGCTTCGCGAGCAGCGCCCGGCACTTTCTTCAACTTGCGGAAAAGGCGTCGAGATATAGACGTCGTCTCGGAGCAGTTGGTCTCCAAAGTCAATACGCGTCCCATATCGATACAGTTTGCGGTATTAATTTTGCATAAAATATCATTTTCCTCGATTCTCTTCGATGTGAATGAGGCCAGTTAATGGAATCATTCTCTCTCTTAAAGCAATTTACGTTCGATCCTGCGGTTATCTTCTCTTGCGTTCGCGAACTAATCAAACATTCGATCAAGAATCTTCATCTTCGGCGACGTGTTCCATGTCATTATCAGGAAGGACAATGCGTGATCCGTCTATTTTATTTGCACGCCGAGCAGCGCGGAAAGAAAACGGAAGATCATGTGCTGGACTTTAAGATCATTCGGTCATCGCGCGCGTATCCGACGCGAGGGAACACAAAGGAGAGAGCAAAAATGGGATGCATCCAATTTTGAGGTCGTCGAGGACAGCAGAGAGATAGAGAGGCAAAGAGTGAGAGAACGAGAAGGAGGGTAGGATAGAGAAAGAGAGAGAGGGAGGGAGAGAGGGAGGGGAAGAGGGTAAAGAGGAGAAAGGAGAACAACGCGAAGGATCGCGCGCGTCGGGGGAGCTTGCCGCGCGCGCGGCTTCGAGAGATCGACGCACCCCAGAGTTCATTATTCTCTCGGGCAGGCGTGCTCGACAAAAACCCATCACCGGAGGCACCACCTCCTCCGCGCCGGTCGCTCGCCGCCTCGCATCTCCGCCGCGCAGTCCGGGCAGTCCTCGCGGAAAAATTCGTTTCATCGAACCCGGAGTAGTCGTCCTTAGGTCGAAAGAAAAATAATTTCATTACCCCGGGAGCTTGTACCGTCTCCCAGGCACGGATTTAGCGCGGTCGTCCTCTCGCGCTCCGAGAGACAATCGCGCGTATCCTCCGCACGCTCTTGAGCCACTTTCAGCTACTCGGCGCGACACGGCGAAGGATACCGCGGATGTAAAGAGACACTTGTCGCACCTCTCGTGGATCGCGCGCGAGGTCTGCGAAGGACGCGCCCGGCGGAAAAAGACGCGCGCGTTTCGTACGATCGATCACCGTGGCGGCTGCAGCAGCCCTGGGACCCCCGAGAGAACACCGGGGTTGGTACCCTCGCATTCTGCATTCAGTGCATTCCCCCTGCGTTCAATGCACGCTCCAGACGATATCTAGATGGCTGCTCGATGTCTGCCGCCGTCGTCGCCACCGCCGCCGCCGCCTCAGAGAGAGAGAAGAATCCGGCTTACACTTATACGGTAGGTGGTGGTAGTTATGCGCCGGTGCTTCGGGGGAGTCGGGGGCCGGTGGCGACCAGGAGGAGGTGGAGGCCGTAAATAACGGTCTATAGTTCTCGAGGGGGAGGGTTGTTGGGCCCCCCTCGCTGAAAAGCTATCTTTGGCGCCTCGTCCGTGCGCTAACCCCTTCGCACTTGGACGAGAGTTCTCTTCAGGATTCTCAGGAGGAAGTCTGACGGACGCTTTTCCCAGCGGTAGAAAACTCGGCGACACTTGTCGCACTCGTCGTCACCGGTCAAAGGGAAAGAGAGGGTAGAAAGAAGGATCAGAGTAGATGGTGGCAAATTTCCGTTTGTAAGCAACTGGAAGTCACTTGTGGAGGCGGGTAACGTTCGTGATAAGTCTGTTGGAATGACGCCAAGTCACTTCGAGGTCAAGTCGGAAATTCGAAGGTTTTCCGCAAACAGTTGAGAAAATTTGTCGAGATTCACTCTTTGGAGCTGGAATAACGCTCTATCTCTCATGTTTGCGAGAACCAGATTGGACGCGCGTCCGAGGATGAAACCCTCGATTATTCCAAGTGGTTCATCGACTCGGCGGCGCGGCTTAACGATCTCTTAACGCGGGCAGCCATTATCTGGAGCACATCGATCACCGCGATTAATTCTATTGAGCTCTACAATCTACCTGCGATGATCGGTGTCGGTGGAGATCGGCGTCTCGAAATTTCGAAACGATCGGTTGCGCCTCCTCACCACCCCCTCCTCTATTTCATCTCTGCTCTTTCTTTTGCTCGCCAACCTGCCGCTCGTCGTCTCTGCGACACGATACGAGGTTTTTAGGCGAGATTATCATCCGCGTTAGACGAGACGACGAACTCTCACGCTCTGCTCTTCCTCTTTTCCGCCACGTCTAGTGCCCAAATCCGACAACAATCCCGTCCTTTCGTCCGCCAAATCCGCGAAGCGGATGCAAAACCTTGCATTTTGTTCTCCAAGCGCGAAGAAATGCTCCCTCAAGTTCGTCCCAAACGTTCATCTTCACTTCTATATCCTTTTTCCAAAGGGAAAAAAGAGAATAAATATATAGAGAGAGGTAGAACCGGAGTCGTGGACTTTACTGCGAAGCTAATTTCGCAAATGCCGCCGTCGGTCTCTGTATATTTTCAAATTAATCGCATTCATATCAGTTTTTTTCACACGTTAAAAAATTGAACCGGTTCTCAAGCGACGGTCGGAAATAATCTCGCGTTACTTTCGCTCGATCGGTACGCCGTCGTCAAGCGAAAATCGTCAATCGTGGCTCTGTTTTCCTGGTCCTGCGTCTCGGCGACGACGACGACGTCCACATCGTCCACCTACCTGGTGCGACCGACCGATCGACCGGGCGGTTCTCGGCGGCGTTCCCCTTACCTTACCTGGTCGATTCAGCGCGCCGAAGGAGAATGAACGAGACACGAGGCGGAGAGGCACGAGAAGCAATATGCAGATTTAACGTTGCGAGTGACCTTTGTCGGTCGTTGCACGTCCCATCAGATAGCTCGGGTGCTCTTGCACTCTCGGTTCCGCTGCAGATCGGTCGACGGTGCATACCAGAACCGGCACTGCGCGGGAGGAAGGCGGACGAGGGAAGGGAGTCGCGCGGGGTCCATCGCGGGGGCTACCGATCTCTCATCAGCGGCCGTTCGCTTTATCCACCGAGGTCCGAGTAGGAGCCGATTAAGGAGTCGACGTTCGCCCTTCATTCTCTTCTTCCCTTCCTCTCAACTGGCGCTACAACTTCGTAGAATGAGTTATCGATCGCGGGTTTGAGTCTCTTTGTCGGAGGAAGTGACCAGGAGGTGTTCGGTCGGTCGGTCAGCGCAGCTTCAGCCGATTCCACGGAGAAAAAGAAAGGAAAGACCAAACTTCCTTTCATCGGAAACGACGGCACCGGTGAGTATTCGCAAACGTGATACTTTCGCCCTTTTCTGCCGCATTTGCCATCATCGAGAGTGGAGGTGTGATTTATTCCTGTACCCGCGAGCACGTCCCGAGAGAGTCACTCCCTTAATCGGTTAGAGACTAGAGATCGATCACCCTTAACGAGATAACATGATTAATCCTTAATAAGTTAGCGTCTCGAGTCTCGCGTGTTGTCGAGCAGTCTGAGAACGCTTAGTCACACCAGAACTGGACGTTGGTGCGTACACGCGTGCCTCCGGAGTCTGGGAGATCGTCGAGGGCGAGAGAAAAGGTCGAGCATATCGTCGGCGGCGCGAGAGACGACCGCGGCGCAATTGCCGATAATCGCGCGGCGCGATCGTCAACGTGCCTCACGTTTCCCAAATGTCCGCGATCCGCGCCGCGTCGTAAGGGAGCTCCCTCATGAGTGCGTTCGTCGATCGGCCTGCAACGTGCACGGCCGATCACGTTTCGGCCTCCTCCGTGGCTGCGTGCACCTCACCTCCTCGTCACCTACGTCACCTTCTCCTGCGTCTCCTCTTGCTCCTCTTCCTCCTCCGCAATCCAGTTTGTTTTATGGCGGAGGGAAAGTGGCGCGCCCATCATCCGGTAACTGCGCTCCTCCAGCGTAGCATCCTCGCAATAGCGAATCTCCGCGCGAAACGCAGCAGCCGAGCGCGTCCGAGCGTTACGCATGGCCGCGCTCGCGAGAGTGCGTGACTTATTCGCGAGCAAGCGAATTTCGTGCGAGCGAAGGACGTCACGCACCTGCGATAAGTGGCGATCTTGGCTGCTCGTCTTGGCCGCTATTTCCCTTAAAGCGTGTTAACGCACGATTTTCTTTTCGTAAGGCAAAAGTACCAAAAATCCTAGACACTAAGACTAAGGATGCCTAACTCTGGACGTTTTTATTGTTTAGATTATTGAATACCAACATTTAAATTTTCAACGTAGTACACGGAAAAAATATAGTACACATAACCAAAAATTAAAATTAGCAGCAGAGCAACAGAGTTGCATTATTCTTGTTATCTTTGTGTGATGGTAATGTGTATGGTTGATATGATTACCTTGATCATCATTTACATTAGTGTACTTATGTGTGATTTACACTGAGAAAAAAAATATCTAAAAATTAACAAATATTTCTTAGATGTACCATTAACATATTTATTTAACACTAAAAGGACCAAGGTAGTCAATTTGGCTCCTCGCAAAATTCAAACAGCTATAATTTTTTTTTCAATTTCTCTTCTATATGATAACCTCTTGTGACTTTTCATCACAATTTTAATTTTGGTAAATAAAAAAAATTTAATTACACAAGATGGTATGTTGAATTTTTATTTAATTGTCTACCTAGAAAGACCGTTAGAGCCAATTTGACTCCCTTATTTCTGATATTGCATTCACATATGTTTTACGATTTTATTAACAAGTTTTATGACTTTAAAAAGATAAATAAATATTTTTATACATATGTATCTCTTTAGTCATAAAATTTGTTAATAAAATCGTAAAACATATGTGAAAGCAATATCAGAAATAAGGGAGCCAAATTGGCTCCAAGGATTCTTCTAGGTAGACAATTAAATAAAAATTTAACACACCATCTTGTGTAATTAAATTTTTCATTCACCAAAATTAAGATTATGATAAAAAGTCACAAGAGATTATCACATGGAAGAGAAATTGAAGAAAGTTATAGCTGTTTGAATTTTGCGAGGAGACAAATTGGCTACTTTGGTCCTTCTAGTATTAAATCAAAGAGTGACGTCAACATGTACCTCATTTCTGGGCAGTGAAAATTGTATTTAAAATGGATACCAAATTAAAGGCCTTGATGAGCTGATTACAAAGATATAACTTTTAGAGCCGCCCAGTTTATTGTTCTAACACTGCGGTCCAAAAAGTTCCCAAATTTTAGGTTATTTTCTTTATGTTTCTTTCATTTCAAAAGTTGAATTTTGTTTGATCTAGCTTTTAAAATAGTTGAGCAAAAACAATTTGAGTATTTCTAATGTTTTTGAATAAGTTAAGGTGCATTTTTCTATGCACTTCATGTTCTAAAATAAAGTTGATATTTCAATTGGAATTTTCTACTTCCGGTCAATTTGAAACATGGAATTTATATCATTAAATTCTTCATTTAGTTTTATTAAATGTAGCATTTTGAATTTTTAAAATTCGTAAAGTTTTGCTAAAGAAACATTAATTTGACAGTAGTCTAAAATTTGGGACCTTTTTGGATCGTAATGTTGATACGGCGAGTCTAAAACTTATATCTTTGTAATCAGCTCATCAAGGCCTTTAATTTACTGTCCATTTTAAGTACAATTTTTACTGCCCAGAAATAGGATACATGGCCTATGGATCATTGGCATCATTCTTTTTCCTCATTTAAATCGAACATTGTTTAGCTAAATCGAGTAGACAATATTCGGTTTAAATGAAAAGAATTTAAGTAAATATATTAATGGCACTCCCACCTAAGAAATATTTGATAATTTTTAAATATTTTTTTCTCAGTGTACTTGTAGCAGCCAGAAATCGGTGGGGTGACATTTATTATGGGCACCCTTTGGTTGGAGCAAACAGATATGGCCACTGCTGCATCGCCAGTGACTCGGCGATTGTTCTGTGCTTGCAGCAACTACATAACATTATTCTGTATTTTACTGTTGAATCTGTGCTCAGCATATCCAGATTTATGTAGACCAATTGTTTCGTGAGCATATATCCTACATTGAAAGTTTAAATATACGCATTTAAAAAAACACCAAAACAATAAGAATATCCACAGTTAGGTACTAGCATCCAGGGATTGGTACTTTAACATTAAGCCTTCAATAAAAAAATAAATAAAGAAAGAAAGGAATAGTCGCAATTGTAAGAATATCGGAAGTACGGGATAACTAGCTCCCGTGGGGACTCGATAGGACTAGTTTCAAAAATATGGGATAACTAGCTCCGGTGCTATGGGACAACTAACCCCGGAAATATGGGACATTTTGTTTCATTCAGCTCTTAAGTCACGGTTCAAGTAAAGAACGAGAAATTATCTTTCATCAAGATGTGCTTTGATATCTCGTTTCAAGTACATCCAATTGCATATGCAGATGCGTTTTAGATTAGATAACAGTGATCAGATACGTTGTTGGTCAGATAAGCGCGGCTGACTAGGTAACATAATTCTCTATCACATCTTGCGAAATAAATAATTGTCATCATTTTTACTATCGGTACACCGACAGCTTATTCTTTCGTTCCGGTTGCACGTCTTTTGCCCTCGCGAAAGTCGATTGGTTGCCCCCTCGTTCGGGCCGTTTCTCAATCGTGTCCTCGAGAACGAACGAACGAGCGAGCGAACGAACGAGCAAGCAAGTAAGCAAACGAGCGAGCGAGCGAGTCTCCCGCCAGGCAAACGTAACCTGAAAAAAAGGATCGCATCAGCAATTTCGCATCGGCATCACCGCGATCACGAACGATGAATACAAACCGACGAGTCGGCCGATTTTACGATCGGGCCTGGAGAAAATCAGATTCCCGTTCTGATGCGGTGTCTCCTTTTGATTATTGTTTAAAAATGCAAAAGCTTGAATTTTACGTCAGGTTTTTCGTCGAGTGAGAATACTTTTACGGAGGAGACATACGATGTATCAGTATTTCCTGATTCAATAGCACGTAGAATATTCTTCGGCTTGATTTTTAGGTATTGATGCAACGAGATAAACGTTTCTTGCCAAACAGTTCTTCTAAAGTAGCTCCCCAGGAGGTCAAAGTGTACTCTTTAACGGTTGGAACTTCTTGGCCCGGGCCTCCTTGAACGGGCAGTAGGTCGATAGGAAATTGAGCTCTCTCTTTTTTTTCTTCATCTTTCTTTAGTTTATCCCGCGCCCGGGCACGTACCAAATAAATTGAATTCAGCTCGCAGAGGCGCGATCGATGTATAAACTTGCACGTGATTGGTGAAGTCGAATAGCTCGCACGTGAGTCGAGGTGAGCGCACATACAGGATGCTCGTAAGGTTGGCCAAGAAGGCCAACGTGTGCGTAAGGGCAACGGGTCGTTGGTGTGGAGATATTAGAAATACATTCGTAATGTTCTCTCGTGACTACAAGCATGACTTACAAGGAACTTAGGAGGAACTGGTTTTATTTATGCAATTACTTTTTTTATTCATGTGATGAATATAAATGTGTAAAAATTGCGATACTGACGTGCAATTCAATAATAAATCTTCCGCGAACAGAGTTACCTGAAGTTATACATATCGTTCTACAAAATATTTATTTAATATAACATTATATATATAAATTCCAGTATAAATCGAAGAACTTCAGTGTAAATGGAAGAATTTCAGTGTAAATCGAAAAAAGCAGCCGACTCAATGCCGAATAAAATTCAGACAACCAGAAGACCTGTGGAATCAGGTAGATATGTAACTTTTTATACTACTAGTCATCGAAAAGGGTACTTCCACGTGAAGAAATTCCAGCTCGCATTGGCGCAGAGTACGAAAAATATTAAATCGTATCTCGTGATCGGATTTTAATCTTTATTCTTATCGCATCATGAGTTTAATCAATTTTCCTCTAAACTACGTAATTTATAATATAAGCGCCTGCTATCACATGTCAAACGTATAATTATCGATTGTTGTACGTGTAAAAATTTTTAACATTCTCATATATCTGAACGTTGGTAAAATAATACAGTTTAATCTCTCTATCAGAAAATCAAGTTTTTTAAAGCGGATATTAAATTTTCTGAACGAGTTTTCAATCTCGGTTTTAATGCTCGAGCGAAACTCTGAACTCTACTCTAATGTCGTCGGTTGTGTATCGCAGAACAAATCTTCGCTGTCGCAGCACGAAACGTCATTTGGTAGTCAAACAATCCGGGGATCACTTTCGACAATAGTCTCGCGGCGGCATTTAGTTCGAAACCGTGGCCGTTGTCACATCGTGTGTATTTCTTTCAATACCAGTTATGTATATACAATTTTCCAGTCTCTTTACGCAAATTTTATTGCATACACGGAGATAATTTTATAACAAAAATTATAGAATCTTTTAACGGAGGAATAGAGTTTGTTATCGAGAATAAACATTCTGCAATATTTTATTATTCTTTCGTTTCATGTATGCTATTTATATTTTAGCAACTGAAATGTGCTATTAAGAAATTTGTTATATTCCTTAGCAGGATAGATTTTACTGATAGCCTATTCCAGTACTACTAGAAACATAGTAAAATTGAAGAAAAGATTTATATGAAAAGAAAATTATAATATTCTCTCTCTTTCTCCGCGTGTAAATATTATTATATATATATATATATATATATTTTTTTTTTAATGATCGTAAATTTCTTTTTTCTTCGTTACAGATCCAAATTTTTGTCATAATTCTCGTGTTCAACGAATTTAAATGAGCAAATTGTGTCTACTATATTTTTATGGTGATCATCTAGTGTTTGCAGTATTCGGTGAGTTTTATTTAGCGTTACAATACGCGAATTTTCCGGCCAAACTTTGTTCTCTCTGTCTTCTACAAGTAGAAGTATAGTGGCGGGCGATCTTGGAAGCTAAATAATTGCTTCTCCTCGACCTATTCGTCTTCGAGGATAATGATCATTCGAGTACTGAAGCGCTTGAAGTTACATCCATTACCTTCAGTGATCTCAAGTAGTAAACATAGCTCGCATATAGAGATTAGATAAGTATCTGCTATTTATTATTACCTTGTGTGTTGTACTAACAACAAGTCCGTTATCGTGTCGTTTGTCTTTCATATATTCCTGTTATAACTTTTCAATAAAGCTAAAACACGATCTGCATTCGTAAAAAAATTTTTTTTTCACAGAACATACTGAATACAGTCGGAAGAATCTTGAGACGTATAGATATATAATTAAACACATTCACTTTTTTTAAAGTATATTTGTCTACAAGATCGTATTTTGTCGTATTTTGTTTCGTATTTTGTCAAACAAAATACAGTATTCTCATAACCATTTACTTTAAATTACTCGTGAAAGCCGAAACATTTGCCTTTCATCAGGCGCGAAAGAGTTAATTTACACCGCAGTTGGGTTGTGTAAAAATACGAAATGCCATAACCGCTAAACAACTTTGCGAACCCAAGTGCGCTGACAGATATAAAAATCCAAGTGGCGCGCCATGGCAAGTGAGCTTCCTCGATTGAAACGGCGACTCGCTGGCACGTGTTGGATCACGTGTCGGCCTATATCGCACGGAACCGTTCCTCATCCTCTTCACGATTGTGCACGTGCCTCTGTCTCTTGATAATGAGATAAGTTCATACGTCTCTACGCTCGCCTTAGGCGCAGAGAAAGGTGTTTATCATTCATTTCTGCCGTTGCCATTCCTGGAAGTTGCAATCGCGTTCCCTCAATTAGAATACGTTTACAACCGCGACGGACCATTCGCGCGCGCGCATCCTTTCTATGCACGAGGCATTTACGTAATTTATTACGTCCGTGTAACAGCGCGCACCTTGCTCACGAGATAATCGCGAAAGAGTTTTCCACCTTCGCGGCGATAGCAAATAGTTCTATTATAAAGTCATTATCTCTTACTGGCGTCTTTGTCACTGACGGTTACACATGCATCATGCTATGCGATATATATCCGACGAAATTGCTTCGGGCGACAAATACATTGTGTGTGTGTGTGTGTGTGTGTGTGTTATAGGAAGATAAAAAATAGTGAATATAAATTTGAAGAAAATGACATAATATTCTATTGTGGCAAAACTTAAAAGAGATCTATTATTACTTTTTTTCTTCACTTTCAGGCATTAATCTAGGCGACGCGTTAATCTGTCACACTTCCTTGAAACATTAAACAATGGCATTCCTTATATACGTTATCCTCGGCATATGCTTCCTTATTTTTGTTTATATCCTTGGCAAAAATTACAAAACGTTTCGACTCCCTCCGGGACCACTCGGCATCCCCTTCCTCGGGTATCTACCGTGGTTAGATCCCAAGAATCCTCACGTGTCGTTGATGAATCTCGCGAAGAAATACGGACCGATTTGCGGGCTTCGAATGGGCTCTGTGTACACGATCCTGCTGTCGGATCCTCGGCTGGTGAGGCAGGCCTTTGCTAAGGACGCATTTGCCGGCAGGGCTCCACTCTATTTAACGCACGGAATGATGCAGGGATACGGTGAGTGACTTTTTCTGCTGATGGACAGGAATACCTAGTAACAGTTTCTTTTGTATTAAGTAAGGGAGACAGGTGACCCACATAATTTTGCGTGATGTAGCACAAACTGACCCTATTATTCCATGCGATTGTCAGTCGCGTCCCCTTTTCGACCTGCGATCTAATATATATAATTTAAGTAACTCACATGAGGAGACCTTCACGTATGGCGTCGTGTCGTACGTTTGTGGCGAACACGAGTCGTGAAACTCGCGCGAACGATCGCGACTCGCCGAGAGAGAACCGGTAACAATGGAGCGACCAGTCACAATGGAAGGGCACCGCCGGTCGTTGTAGGACGTAACGGTTCCTCTAACGAAGGAAGTCTCGTGACTGTGGGCCGACTAACCTACTAAACAGCTAAAAAATTCACTTGCCTGGCGGTGCCTTAGGATCCACAAAAAGCTGACGTCTGGTCTGTCTCGTGGAGAGGAAACGAGGTCGACCCGACGTCGGCCGTTGGAGGATTTAGAGAGCTTCCGGGTGGCGTACGTCACCGTCTGCTGTCGGTAAAATCGCCGACCTACAAGCATTCTTCCGCGTTAACCCGACGTGTATGTACAGTGAAAGTCTCTTTGAAGAGACCTCGCCCTGGTGCAAACGCGAAATGAATTTCTTTCGCATCGTGTTTACCCGCGATGTCGTTCTAACAGCTCTTCAAGTGTATTCCCGAGAGATCGCTAGGATTCGCTCCAAAAGTAACTCCACTTGACGGCCGCGCAAACTCGACTTCTTCTCTGAATTTCCGCTTCTTACATAATCATAATACTTTTTTTTTGTTCTCCGAGGCTTTGCCTGCCGTTGTATGTACGGAAGAAAATTAGTTGAATTAATCTGAATTGAGGACATATTAGGACCTTAACTTAGTTTCCGCCCGCAAATGTTAGATGGCAATGCAAACAGTTCTAGTAGTCATTACTAACGAAACAGGTAGTTTGTGATTAATTTCGACATTTCTCGATAACATTCAGTCAGCATACACAATTATTTTCCTAAACAACAATTTCTTTTGCTTTGTGAAAAATGGAACGCGATAAAGTGTTTTTTCGACATGTGC